GACACTGCGATAGCAACATCGATCGATACTGTCGGAAATCAGATCAATGGACGAGTCTAATAGCGACAGCTATAGATTTGTCTAAGGATTGAAGTTCTCATATATTTGCAAGCAATTCGTTAAGACATCCATAGATTTATAATCCTGATTTTCTGAATAGTAACCTTGAATCTAACTACTTTCTTTCATTGTTTTCAAAACCAAAACCTATTTTCCTTAGAAACTTACCATTGCTACCTATTTTTATTTATTGTTTTAAAACCTTTTCAACCTAGCTTAATTACTTAGGATTATATCTTTTGTGACTATAGTTCCTTGTGGATTCGATCCCTAAGTACTACGATTGAACCTCTTATTTGAGAGAGTAAATCACTCCTCAGGGTTAAACATTTGAGTGACATCAGCGAGACAAGCCAACTTTAAGCCCAAACATCACCAAATGACGAATTTACCACTAATGAGTTTTAACCTAAGTTTATATACTCTGTCAAAGTGTTAAAGGCAGAGAGAGATTTTTTTGTATTCTTTTCACAGAAAAAGGTTTTAAGATTTTAGTTTGGGAGAGAAGATCAGCAGAGATATTTGTGATTGATTCTAATACTATGCTGTTTTATTACGTTGCTTGTGTTATGAATTGCTTAGCCATGTTTGAGTAATTCACTTATTAGAATTAGGAATTAAATAGGTTAGTGGGATTAGCCCCAACTATAGGATCGCTTGTTGTGGTATTCATTAATAAGATGTTCTTAATGCTTATGTTCTAGACTTGCTAACTACAAACATGAATCTAGGATTGTTAGGTTGTTTAAGCATCCTTGGATAACTCTGATAATCTTGAATACATCTTGATTAAGCTAGAATTTTTACTAGAGAGAAGGGAGTCGCTTGATCTCAGAATCCATAGTGAGTGTTTGTTAACTCGCGTGTAACGCTTGACTAGCCGAATCGATCGATATTCCCATTGGAAATCGATCGACGTCGAGTCAAGTGAATCGTTTGATATTCCTATAGAATAATCGATCGACACTGTCATCGATCGGACATTCTTGTCTTGGTCGATGACACTCTAGTCAATAGACTTATTTATTAAACAAGAGTTTAGTAAAACTGTTGTCAAGATAGTTAATGCTCTTTAATACCATGCCAACAACTAGATATCACATATAGGATTATAATATCCAACACCTAAATAAAAAACCCTAAGTCTAACACCTTTCCATTTAAGTTTAAAACCCTCATTCCATTGTTGTCGAGTAATTGTCTTGCTCATTTAGAATATTTTATATTTACTGTTTACATTCTTACTGTGATTTACTATTTATATTCACCTAGTTTTATTGCTTGATTAGATTTAATAGGTTTCATAGCTCCTTAAACCACCTCCATCGGAGGTGTCTAACAAGGGTTCTAGAAAAGAAAAACAAAAAAAATAAATCAAAAATGAATTAAAAGATCAGAACCGCTGTCTAATATAGCCCCTTCAGAATTGGTAAACACCCCATACGTGTGTCTTTGGTATTGGCTCAAAATCTTTCATTCACTCTTTTTCTTCTTCTTCTTCGTCCATGTCGACCTCAACAGATGCGCGACTTCCATCACAATGATTATTTCCCTTTTTATTTGATTCTGTGACCCTTTTATGTGATTCTGGTTCGTGAATTTTGCAGATTGTTTGTGCTCATTAGAATATCAAATCGAAGAAAAAAAATAATGGGAAAGTTTTGTTGCTTCAGTTCCGATTCCGAGGTAAAAAAAAGCTTCTTCCTTTCACACATGTGTAGATCAAAAGATAGCTCCTTTTGTTTGTTTCTTCTTAGTTTTGTTGCATGTTCTTGCAATAAACGAAAGTATGGCTCTCTGGATAATAATTATGAGTAGTGTGTATATAAACAAAGTTCAGACTTTGTCATTTTTATATAGGCATCGCTAGTGATTTGTGATTTGTTTTATATCAAAGTGTTGTGTTTGAAATTGGCTTCAATATTGCAGCTGTTCTAGAGACAGATGCTTACCAGCAGTTAAAGGATGAATGTCTATCACTCCAGTCCAAGGTAACTCTCTCTCTCTAGAGATCCTGTGTTTTACCGTTGCCCTGATCTTGAGGTCTCTCTCTCTCTCTCTCTCTGCAGCTTTCTCTTAATAGAGTCCTCCTTAATCCATACCAAACATTTACTGATGTGTTTGTTCTTACACAGGCATATGCACGAGAAATTGATGAGCATAAAGAAACAATGCTTCTGGTGAACAAGGCGGATCTCTTACCTTTGATGAGTGCTTGCATATACAGGAGAAGCAAGTGTTACAACAACCTTGATGAGCCTAAGTCTTTCTTGTAATCAATCTTTTGTTTCACTTCTTTATATAGTTTGATTCTTTTTCTGTAAACAGATATAAGAAACTGGAGTTATGTTCTATATATGTGACTTGGCTCAGGACCAGGGAGAGACGGGATCTTCATTTGTACCAACCAGCTAGCAAGTGTCGAAGTATGAAACAGAAGGCACACGCTAGAGCCTGTAGTAGAAACAAAGCAGAGTATCACAAAACCAGTAGCGATCATATTCATTTTATAAAAATTGTAATGAACATCTCTTGGGAGACCTACCTGGAAGACAAGAAGATGGATGCAGAGAGACTTTTTTAGGACCAAACAACCTCAAGTAAACGTTGACTAGCGTCCTGTCTTTTGTCCGTTATAACGAGTATGTGGTAGCTATTATCACCTTGTCTTTTTTACAAGTTATTACAACATCTGATGGAATGTGTTTTTTCTTTGCAGCTTTGGCTCCTTCTTTGGACAAGGGTTATACAAGAAAGCAAATCCTTGCTAGAAAACGAGATCAAGAATTAAACTAACCTGTATGTGTCCTACTCTTCTTTGTTTCACATTTTATACCTGCAAATGTTTTGTTTTTGTTCTGATGGACTTGCTTGTGGTGTAAAAAGAAACAATTTTAAGAACCTTAAAGAGGTTCTCCCATTGGACCATGAAAAATTTAATTTCACTAACAAGGGTTCTAAACTTCTCAAATCACTAAATTAATTATTAAATTATTCATCAGAACCCTTAATGGGTTCTCACCAATGGAGTTGCTCTTATGGATTTGATCCCTAAGTACTGTAATAGATCTCTAATTGAGAGAGTAAGTTGCTCCATAGGGTACATTTTAGCACGTATCAAATTAGGCGCCGTTGCTGGGAAGCTTTGATCGCCATTAGATTTAGTCTAATAATTCTAGGTTGTTTTTTTATCATCTTCTGATAAAAATATTTTCTTGATTTTTCAGGTGCATGCATAGCATAACCAGAAGCAACAAGGAAAAACAACTGTTATTTTCAGAAGACCCAACAAGCTTGGAACGTTCTATCGCAAAGACCTATGTTCCGCATCGATCGACATCAGAAACTCTTCGTCGAGCGATTCATATCAGACCCCAACCGACCTCACTTCATCATCGATCGACACGAACAACTCTTCGTCGACCGATTCTGAACTTTTGACATTGATCGACACCGCTCATCGTACATCGATCAATACTCATTATAATTTTGCACGTGATGAGAATTTTCTGTAGATCTTAAATTTAGAAATTTTATAAAAAAATATTTTGATGCGAAAAAACTAAAATCATGTAATTATAAAAATTTGTAAATAATGTAAATTTAGATTTATTAAAAATGAATTTATTTCAATATAGATGAGTCGATGTAGATTGAGTCGTGATAATCTTTGGCTTAGGATTTGGTGACATATGTTTTAGTATTGTTTGTATTTTTAGAGTTAGATTTTGGAATCCTAAATTTTTATAATACGTAAATTTGACATATATGTGTTTTCTGTTTTGTATATTAATCACTTTATTAGTGAGCTATTTGATTTTGTGGTTTGGAATACTTAAAAACCTTCAAAAATATAATGCACTAGAAGAGTTTCTGGAAGACTTCCCAACAAAGTCCATTTACCACTTAAATTTTAGTATAGTTTTGGTTTCATGCTTAGGAGAAGACTTTCAAGAAGTGTTCTACGAGAAGACTTCCCCGAAAGTCTTCTCATACATTACATATTAAAAATAGTTTAGAGATTAGATAAAAATAATTTGATGGGGAAAATTAGAATAATGTAATTATAAAAATTGGTAAATGAAGTAAATTTAGATTTATTAAAATTGAATTATTTTCAATATAGATGAGTGAATGTTGATTGAATAATTATAGTCTTTGATTTAGGGTTAGATAGCATATGTTATAATAATGCTTGTGTGTTTAGGGATAGATTGTGGAATCTTAACTTTATTAAAAAACTAAATTTGAAATAGATATTTAATTTTATGTATATTAAACATTTTATAAGTTGATATATAATTTAATGAAGTAATTGTTGTTATTTAGTTAGTAATTTGTGTTTAGAGTTTAATTAACTTCTTTCTTGGGAAATTTTCTAACAAACAATGCCTTAGAAAACTTATGGGGACGTCTTCTAGACGGATAGTAAATTTATGGTTTAGAAGACTTGCTGGGAAGTCTTCTAGTGTATGTTATGTTTGTAGACTTACTGGGAAGTCTTTTGAACCAAACCGAACCTTTGTTTTTACCTTTAATTTTAATATAACTGATATTAAAAAAAAATTACATTAAGCCTAACTGGATAATTCACCAGACATATAAATAGTATATTTCACTTTTTGTTAATAAAACCACAAAAGCCTAGATGTTTCTCTCTGAGGCGATTTCTAAGGTGATTTCCGACGATGTGCATTTCTCCATTGTTCTCACTGCCAGTAATCTTGTTTCCTGGTGAATCTCATTTATCCTTCATGGCCTTAGAGTTTTAGTAGATTTAACTAATTCAGATCTGAAATTTTTAGTGTTGTCGTTTAACTCCGTTCGTTGCCAGTAAGTTCTTCTTCTTTGTTGTCGTCTCTTTGATGTAGTCTGACTTCTTCTTTCTCCTCGAGTTTTGCAGATATGTAACCGTGGTGTCTTTGGCGACCATAAATTCTATGCTTTGGACTTTCTCTTCTCTGCCTCCTACTATAAGGTCATCCTTTTGTTTGGTTTAATCGCTTTATGTAATAGGGTTTCCCTTCACATCTGTATGCTAAAGACAATCACTACAAGAAACACACGGTATATTCCGACAAACATTAACTTCGTCGATTTTTTTTACATATTTTCGGTGAGATAGCAACGAAATATATAATTTGAGGCTTGTCTGTATTTCGTCAGAAATTTCCGAAAACATTCCCACAAACCTTATGTCATCGGATAATTCCCTAAAAATTCCGACAGAAAAATTATATATATATTAGGTGACAACTTTAATTACTTATATTTGTATGACGGATCATTTGACCGTTGTAAGCTCAGACGAGTTTCCGAAGAAAATTCCAACAAATTTCTTATGGAAATAGTTATCGATCGTGGATGTATAAACCGCATTTGGATCCAAACACAAATTTTCTTACATAGGAAAACATGGAGGGTATTGGCAAATTCATGAGGATTTTTCAACAACAACCGGAAAAAAAACTGGTATGTTAAGATGTCCATGCTCTTTCTGCAATAATAATAAGGTTATAAAGAAATGAGATATTTGGACTCATTTATATATGAAAGGGTTTACACAGAGTTATAAGGTTTGATATCTTCGTGGGAAAACTGGTTATGAATATGGTAGTATTAGTGAACCTCATCTTGTCGTTAGGTAACCAAGAATGGATGTAGATTATGATGTAGGTATTGACTAGATGGTAATTGATCATTATAGATGGGAAGAGCTCAATGCAGAATCTAGCATATTTTTTGATATGTTGGATGCCGGAAAACAACCTTTGTACAAAAATTGTAGAGATGATCATTCACCCTTATCATCTGCAGCTAGATTGATGGGTAATAAGACATATTATAATTTGGGCGAAGAATGCGTGGATGCGATTGCTGATTTCGTTAGAAGTTTTCTACCAGAGGATAATCTTGCACCGAGTTCATACTATCAGAAACTGGTAGCGGGTCTTGGTTTAACGTATTAGGTGAAAGATGTATACATCGACAACTCATGATCTATTAGAGAGCAAATGAGAACCGGGATAGATGCAAATTTTGTGGTTAACGTCGTTATCATGATACGAGAGGAACAGTTTCGGTGCCATTCAAAAGGATGTGGTATTTGCCTTTGACGGAAAGACTGAAAAGGTTATATCAATCTGAACGCATAACCCAACCAATGAGATGGCATGCAGAGCACTCCACATATGGTTAGATTAGACATCCTTCATTTACAAAAGCTTGGAAACATTTCCAATCAACATATCCATTATTTTCCCATGAGAGAAAAAATGTATATCTTGGTTATGTATTGATGGTTTCAGCCCATTTGAAAAGCATGAAAGACAATATTCTCTATGGCCAGTAATTGTTACACCGTACAACTTTCTGCATAATTTGTGCATGTGACGAGAGTTTTTGTTTCTCTCCATTTTCGTCCCCAGACCAGAGCATCCTAAGAGATCATATTATGTGTTTCTTCAGCCACCGATATATGAGTTGCAACAACTATGAGCGCATGGTGCTGATATATACGATGTTTCGTGCAAAGAAAACTTTTAGATGCTTGCAGTACTTATGTAAAATTTCTAGCATATGGGATGTTATATGAATGGACAATACATGGGAGATTATCATGTCCATATTTTCAAGATAACAAATGATTTCTAAGTAAAACGTGGAAGGAAAACATGTTGGTTTGACTGTCATAAAAGCTTTCTACCACCCGATCATACATACAATAGGAACATGACTTTGTTTACAAAGAACAATAACGTGTTTGACAGTCCGTCAGAAGAAATTAGTGAAAAAGATTTGTTGGAACAATTAAGGGATTATGGTTCAGAGAGGACGCCAAACGTTGGTGGACATGAAAATATTTGAATCGACGCTGTTGGACAACTACAAAATTTGCACAAAGAGTATTTTATTGGATCTTCCATACCGGGAGAAGCATCTGTTACGACATATTTTAGATGTCATGCATATTGAGAATAACATTTTTGATAATCTGATGAACACAATTCTTAACATCCAAGGTAGAAAGAAGGATTATTTGAATTCAATGCTAGATTTAGTCGATATTTGTGCTCATTCTGAACTTCATGTTGATAGGAACTGTGTGGCTCATTTTCCCATATACCGGCTGGATGCAGCTGGACAGGAGGCCTTCTTTCATTAGACGGTTATGCGTCAAATTTACGTAATAGCGTTGATAAAAGTGAAGGAAAATTTATTGGCTTGAAGATTCATGACTATCATGTTATGATGCAGCCACTTCTGTCCATCTTGTGTTTTCAGACTATTGCCACATAATGTTCATAAAGCAATTACAGGTATTTTTATTCTAAAATTTTTAATTGGTCGTCATATTAGTTTATTATGCCTTATATGTACTTATGGAATTTTTTTTCTTTATATGTATGCAGGAATATGCGGTCACCATTTATGGTACCAGTAATTTGAAGGCTAACATATCCGTGAGAATGTGCAACCTCGAAAAGATATTTTCTCCATCGTTTTTTATGTAATGGAACATCTTGCTATTCATCTCGCAAGAGAATTGGAACTTGGTGGTCTTGTGATACCAATGGATGTATCTTTTGAGCGTTATATGCATCACTTAAAGAAAAAATTCAAAAAATTTAAGCAAGGTGGAAGGATCTATAGCCGCACAAGTGATCAATGAAGAAGCTGCAAACTTTGCTGAAAACTACTTTCCATTAAAGGTGCAAAAAAAAAGGGAGACCTTCTCAGCATGATAATGGAGAGCAAAGGGCAACGTATT